ATTTCATTTATGTTTCAGAAATCTCAGGGATGTTGGCGTGCATGCTACTGGGCCCTGAACGGTGCTGATATTACACTGTTTTAAATGGGCCTTGAATTAGTGGACTGGACCCCTAATTCGCAGAATACTCGCCGCCAGCTCAGACTGCATCGACAAGAGGGAAGAGGTTCCGCGGGGCGGGCCTTCATTTAGGGGAATGGCATCTGTAAGGGGTAGTTGACCTCTTAAATGAGATGGACGCACGGGGTAACAAGACATCTTACTTTAGATGTGGTTAAGCACTGTGGCTTCACCGGTAACATTTGGAGGAGCGGTGTGGGAAAGAACCCTGTGTTTGTAAGCTGTTTTGTTTGTCATGCACAGCTGGTGTGTTTGTATACGAGGCAGAGAGCCCGTGAAACCGCAAACGTACGGATGCTCAACAATGGTAGGCCTAACTTAAATTACACGTATGTGTCTTCATTTGTCTGTTGTGTAGAAGTGCAAAAAAAAAAAAAACACCAACAGTAAGATCTCGTCACAACAAGATTTTGTATACTATTTACGAACAAAGTCTCTGCTGCTATACGTCGTCGACGTGAACCATGCACCAGTCTTTTCTTTCGCTTCGATTTTGATTTCATCCATTCTATGCAAAGTTGAGAAACCTCTCATAGAAATGTGACTTGGCATCAAATTTGGCAGAAAGCAGACTCTACTTGTGTTGTTCTTCCTCCATGACTTGCCCCATTGGTTGCTACAGTACAGTACGGTCCTTGCATATCGGCAGTTCTCCCCACAGGATTGAAAGAACTTTCCGCTTATTCTCACAATAGTGAAAGTCTACTGCAACATTACCTCAGGGGTAACAAGGAGCTATTAGGCAGGATAGCCCCATAGTGGTACAGTGCATTTTGCAAACCCACGGTCGTCCCCTGCGTTTGTTCCTTACGTCCGTGTTCTAACCAAAGTCGGCTCCAGGAGTTTGTTGTCTGTCTGCGCAGTCAACCGTAAATGGCCTGCCATTGTGCCCAAATCGAAACAAGTTTCTCGTGTGCTCGTCCGACAATAATTACGCCATACACAAAATGCCCAACAATGATGAAGGCCATAGGCATTTTGCTTACAACAAACTCCCTGGTGACTATCACAGTTCCTCGTTTTTCAAAATTCAAACTTCAAGGAATGAGAAAATAATTACTGTTTCGAACTTACCACAGTGTCATTGAGGGTGTTGAATTCCCAAGCTAGTACTGATGATCCCGGGATGAAGACAAGGAACAGGACCGTTAAATGCACGCGGTCTTTCATTGAGACATCAAAGTGGCCCATCATCTAGTCACCAGGAACTCGTGGCTCTAATAAATGATTCCTGTCATTCAATTTCGTCCCCTTTCGGTAATTTTCCATGTGACTTAACCAGTTGCTCTTTAGTTACAGTGTTGCTAAACTGTAAGAGAAGGCATTCCCCGGACAATTTGGCTTGACGTCTGCCGTGCGATACAGCGCTTCTACGGGTCCGTGTTGAATTCTCTTCTCGGTTCGTGACGTGTGACTTAAAACTAACCTTGCCAGCAACCCCCGGCTCCCGCGGAGTTTTAAACTGCGCAGGTGTGGTTTGTGTGCGTGAGACGGAATCGTGTGGGCCTTTTCACTTGGATCGGAACAAAGAGATTCGGTTGTACGAGTCACCTGCGAGGTCTCACATGAGGTACCGTGTTACTGATGACTGTACCAACGTCAAAATCGAAACAGTAAGCTCGCGACGGCTGGTATACCTGTGTATTGGAGGCCTGGGGTGGTGGAGAGCTAGATCAGTGTTGTTTGGATGTGAGGTGGTGATGACAATGATGCATTGTTCAGAGGAGGGTGGTGATAATTGTGTGGTGGTTTGCACCCCTGCTGGTGACTATAGATTTATAGCACACAGGTGGTACGGTGCCTCCAATTCAACTCCTGGTTCGAATCCAAACACGTGCTTGTGCTCGTTGTGAACGAATACAGGCATGTGTTTGCTGGACAGAAGGAGGGTCCCGCTATAGCAGAGGTGTCGCTTGCAAGAATCTGCGGGTCTCTCGTCTCAGGAAGAAATGTCACAATGATTATTATGAAGGATGTTATTGGTGCCGGAAGAGAATCGGCAAAAATAATGGGGCTCATTCTATTCTATCTACTTAGGGTTTCTCAGCTAAGGTTAATTACTTCAGGAATGCAAGGTCTTTCTTTCAGATTAATCGATTCAGCCATGGCTGCTTACGTGCGCCCTCAGCTGATTAACTATATCACTGACCTTCAAAAGAATAATAAATCGATCAGGTTTGAGATCTGACCATACACTGAGAGGAGTAAACGAAGTTGACTTCCGTCTGAATACGGTGTGGAACAGTCCGACATGAATTCGACCAATCCTGGCGGTTATAAGTGGACCCGCATTTGAGGGCTTCTCGACCAATGGCATGACAACAATAGATATGACTCACACTCTACCTATCGACAGTTTATATACATGTACATCCAAACGTAGACCAGTTGCGATATAACATTTGAAATTGTGTGTCGTTAGAAAATGTTTTAAAACAAAAACTGGGGTTAAGCGATCATGCTATACATTCAACTCATAATAAACCGTATTCACATAGGGCCAAATGTCAGTCAGATTCCCTAACATTTGAAAACGTAAAGTTGAAAGAACCGGACTCTATTCTACGATTTCATTCCCTCCGAAAGAAAATCACCTGGTACCATCCCATTAAGGGTTTCAAATGTATACAATACGTTACTGAAATTGGGTCTCCCGCTGATACGGTTTATTCAAATAATACAGGGCAGATGCTACAACAAATTATAAACCATTTCCTGAATAGTACAGGTAGGCCTATATTTGTTTACATTACTACACACAAAAGCATTTGTCTATATTCTTCCGTTGAGATCAGGTGGAAATAAGCTCCAACGTAGTTCTGCAAACCCACTTTAATGAAATGCATAAACAACATATACCAATCACTTCATGCCACTTCACATCACTTAATATTTCCAATTTCACGCCACTTTTTTGCGTTTTATACATTCATATGAACATTAATTTGATGTTATCCTAACAAGAAAAACAGGGGTTAGCTTGAACCGCTCATTAACCAATGCCCATGCGCGTATAATTATTTTGTAAGTGAAAAGGTAAACAGGCGTTTTCTGTGAATTTGTACTCAAATTAAAAAGCTCAGTTTGTCCTCTTTAAGGTCATGCACAGATGATAAGAGACGAATACATTGATTGATTTGCAGACACTCAGCGGGGAGAGACTGGATTCCTCCTTGTATAAAAAACACGGTGTAAAGTGCACCATCGACTTTCCAACTATTTCGTAATAAGGTTTTTTACCTAATTAGGCTCAGGCGGACTCCCTTTACCCGTGCAACATAGACCTACCCTCACTGCTTAGTGCTTTGATAGAAACTGTCTTCCTTTGACATTACTCTGTATAATTCTTGCACTTCTGTAGCGACTCACTAACGCTTAACAGCTAAACATGTCGTTGTAAACATCAAATACAAAACACGGAGCAAACAAAACTGGGGAAAATCAGAAAGAAAGGACATAGCACTGTGAACGCGCAGCTTTCAAGTTGCACATTTCTGGTCCCTTCTAACAGAAGAAAAGATCCCAAATAACAACTAATCGCTTGACGAAAAGTCATGCATTGGTGACGGCAATGAAAGGTGTCTGGGAGCTAATGCATGGATGTCTGGGCCAAGCAAAATATCGCTCGCTACGGTCGCCAAATCGGCAAAACACAGCGGCGCTCCAAATGTTTGAGAAATGAGCAACACCAGGTCGTCATGATGAATTTTTCAATCTGTGGATGAACAGTGGTCGTGGGCACAATAGCTGGAAAATCACATAAACTTGTAAATCACCGCAGTCATGATCAAAACCCAGCTGTATGAGTGTAGCTGACGTTATAGACTTGCTTATCATATTAGGAGGGAAAAATGACAGTGTAACCGGTCTCCAAAGTGGTTTACACTACACCTGCGATTTTGCCACTAGCTTATTGCTGGAGTTTTGCTGGGCGAGCGTGTGTCTGCCGAGCAAAATCTTCTGGTGAGTTAGCATCGGCGTGTATCACGCAGAGACGTATATAGCCTTCTCTTGCCGATCATCAATGATGAATGCCATTACGAAAAGCGCATACTCGACCCAACATCAAGTGAAGAAATGAAGCATGCGGGAATGGACTAGAGCTGCACGCACAAAGTCCACTCACAATACAACCTTGACGAATCATCTGCATTCGCAATGACTGAAAGCATCCACATAAACAATTCGCGCGCATTTTCATTACAAATTGCCCGTCACCCACGTATTTTAACTTTTTAAACGTCTTTGTTATAAAATAAAACTAGGCCTAGCTGATAGCTGGGCAAGTGAGTTGTAACATGCTGTAAGGAAAGTGGATTTGGAACGCGTCCAACTGAAAGTTAACCAAACTGAGCAGATGGCAAGTGTGAATAAGCATAATTGCGCTACAATTATACAAACATTAATAGAGCTGCATAGCCAGTGATAATCAGTCACGGAAATCGCTATAATTAACACTCCGGCTTCTGATTTGTTTGACTAAAGAAAACACTTTGTGTACATGCTTAAACTTTCCTTGTTTAGCGCATATTCATGAAATTGGCTATCGATGCAGCTGTATCTAGTCCCCAGCAGCATACGTGTGGTTTGAGTCGATTATAATTCTGATGCTCCTTATCAAAAACCATGGAGGCAGGTCTCTCTTAAATACAGTTTTGTTATGAAATAAGCTCGAGTGCTCTAGGCCGAGGTTTCCCTTCCAGAGAAATGAGAATGCTTCCCTGCATAAACTGTTGTCATCCCATTATCAACCCGCAGTCTATTAAATCGTTAAAACCTTTCAAGGTCCGTGAAGTCAATGACCCTTCAATCCTTTACTAATAACTCGCACAGGAAGGACTCACAAACACTCACAATAATCGTGTATACAATACTTATAATTAGCGATGTAAGTAGATCGATAACTAAAAGTGACTATCAGCTCAGACTTCAGATATGTTCAGGCAAGTGAGGCATCAGCGTGCAACAAATCTCAGCATCAAAACCAGCACAATATTTGCGAGAAAAAGGTTTCCAAACGCCTGTACATGTACTAGGTGCATTGCTACCCGAAATGTGATATTTTGTCTTCTTTTTACAGATTACTAACATCAACCAGTAACCATGATGGTGTGACTCAGAGACTGACAGAATGTCCCAACTAGCACAGCGGTAAAAAGTCTTCCTGCAATAACTTGCTTTAGGAACCAATGTTCCGCTTCAACGACTTTCTGCACTAGTCTTTATCCACCACTCTTTGGAAAGCAAATTAACTTCAGCTCCCATTCTCCATTGAAACCCCGCGCTCTTTACACCCATGCACTTCGATAAGTGTTTGTGGAGTATGTTGGACCATTTGAAATAAAGAGAGAGGGAACCAGTGAGTCGAAGAAAAACCGTGTAGGAGTATCTGGGCTTAAGTGATAAGTGGGCGTCTCATTTTCATCACAAAGCAGGTTACAGCCTATCAGAAAATGGTGATCAAGCACGCTAACACGATATGCAATGCAGAAAAAAACCCGCTTGTTACCGGCAGTAATGGTTTGTGAGAGGATATTGATGTTACACCGACAGTCTACACTGACATAAAACGGCTACGCCGTCATCGATGCAAGATTGATGTGAGCATGGTGCGAGGGGAAAACAGAGAGTTGTGCAAAGAAAAGAAACCATTGTTATTAATCACTGATGTCGTGGGCCAAGACAAGTGAAATGTGATAGTGGGAGTGTTTCGACGCCAGGCTGTCAAACAAGCGAAACGAAGCAAAGTAACCAGCCAGCATCCAACATACAAAATACTTTTCAAAAAGGTATTTCTCTACACATCGAATTCGACATATCAACGACGCGACAACATTCAAATATCGAGGCTTATATGTGGCATGAAAAAAGTTGTCGCTTTGTAGCCTTATAATGTGTATTATAAAGCCAATAATCAGTGCAAAGCAATAACTAAAAAATCATTTATCTCATTGCACGGCATTATGGAATACGTTTAATACAAAACTTGATATGCAGAACGGGCGCTCTTCGTGCATCACTCAGAGCGGGCAGTATTTTTACTCCACCAACTAGGCCTATGGGCAAGAGTTTCGCGTCACGAAACGCAGTAACAAGATGTTACACGAACGCAACTGGATCCTTTCTGCCACGTTCCGGGTTACCTGGCCTCTCTTGCGGTCGAAAACATGCTCTCAGGCGCTGAAAACCAAAAGTATATTGAATAGAATCAGATCAGTTGAAATCGTACTTGTATAAATATGCGATAAGACAGCTGTAATAATGGGCAACAAGCGAAACCTAGGGTAACGTTTGAAGGTTTGCACGTCGTTTGCGGCGATACTTTTGTGAGAAAGCATGGTTCTGATGAGAACCGGGGGCTCGACGTTTCGAAGTCTTCTCCTGAAGACGACCAGAGCAAGCTGTTCGAAACGCCGTGCCCACGGGTCTTATCAGAACCACACCTGCTCACAAAAGAGATTTATCACATGGTGTCATTATCGCAAACAACGTTCCTAAGCGAAACCTAGTTGTAGCCACAAGATTTGACAACGCTCTCTGAGCCCTGAATAATGTGGCAAAGGTGTCTCTATGTCTGGACACGAAATGGTCTCCTACGTGTACAAATCAGCGACAGTTTATGCAGTTTGTTGTTCTCATTTCCTGTAGTGGTTGGAGCCATTTTGTGCCCAAGCTGTGACGCAACTATAATTACCTGTTCAATGGACCCAGGCGTTGCAATTAGCTTATACACGGCGTAGACGGGAACGCACATGACCGAGGAGGCCGTGAGAAGCCAGCCGAAACACTCGGCCCAGGTCGGGTAGTACGGGATCGGTTCGTAGTGCACCAAAGCAAAGATCACGATGAACTATGAAGGAAATATGACACCATCGACCGGTAGATAGGTTTGAGATACATTTGGTGAAATCTTGGAACGAATGTTGAACCAGTGAACCAAGTCGGTCTAAACAACAGTTCAAGTAACAATTGTAAAACCCAAAGACGAATCACATTGACCGAAAAAGAAATTTCAAACAATTATGGCCACACACAAGCCAGTCAAACAAGACTAGCGCAATACAAATCCAGCCAAACCGAAACCTGAACCTTAGGTCAAAGTGAGCAAATCTCCTAAAATAACCAACCACATGCAGTTAGAAATCCACAAAAATTCTTTGGGTCTGCTTATAAATTGGTAAATGATACCATCAGAGCCACTTCGAGTTAATAATAATAATAATAATAAGAGGAATAATTGACATTAATAAAGCGCCCAATCCATCAAGCTTCTCCCAGACGCTGCACATCAAAATATAAATAAATAAAAAAAATTACATGTACCATAATTAAAATCAAGAAACTAAAAATGCTTGTTTAAAAAGGTGCGTCTTTAGCCCGGTCTTAAAACTCTCCTCATTCCTAGACTCTCTAAGATGAACTTCAAGCTGGTTCCAGAGACGGGGACCAGCCACAGAAACATCCTCTCGCCAGCAGAAGACAGCCTAGTTTTTGGAAGAGTAAGCCTAGACGAGCCCAGCGCTGAACGAGTGAATCGACTAGGAATCCTAACATCAAGCAAATCACTTAAATAACTTGGAACTCTGTCGTGGAGACTTTTAAAGATCAGGAGACACGCTTTAAAAATTACCCTATATTTTACTGGCAACCAATGTAACTGCATCAGCAAAGGAGTAATGTGGTCAAATTTCTTGCCATTAGTGAGTAACCTTGCTGCAGCATTCTGAACTCTCTGCAACGGAGCAAGGGCTGACGCCAATAGACCAATTAAAACAGAGTTACAGTAGTCTATGTGGGACGTAACAAGTGCATGAACAATCTGCTCCATGGCTGATTGACCCAAATAATGTTTAATTTTGCTTACCCAAATAACGTTAATTTTGCTAAATTGCTAAATTTAGTTAAATGGATTAAGAGAGCATTGCACAGTGAAATTCAACAGAGACCTTCAAAATTACCACATAGAACGATCGTTTTCACCACGATACCAGTAACAGAGATCCACAAAAGCAAGGAGCTGAGTTTGCTCTTCATAATGCAAACTAAATCAAACTTACTGAAAGTAGCTTTATGACTCACGTTGTGCGATCCAGTCACAGCCAAGCGTATGCATGGTTTTTTGGTTTAGTTTAGTGTAGTTACGTTTGGTTTGTTGTGGGGTCGTACTTACACATATGGCGACTGGGCTCAAGAACTGCCAGCATATCATCCAGAAGACACCGGGTTTCTGGCCGATCATCGCTTTGATGTCGCTGCCCATGGCCCCTACACCGTAACACCAGGCCACGGCTACAGCTTCGAGGGCCACGATGGCTAGGATGGTCACCGACACAGCATAAGCATCGTAGAGCTGGATCACAAATTGCCCTCCCTGAAATGGATGGAGTAAGAGCTGGAATTTGCTCTGGAAAGTATGCCGAAGAACGATATTGTTGCCTCCAAGATTCATGAAATTGTGCCACAAATTGGATCCGTACTTATAAAGAATGTGACTTTATGCATTTGGGTTACGAACATCTTGCAACTTGTCGCTGCTTTTTGTGCTTCTAACAGAAGTGCGATTGCGAAGAGTATATTACGGTGTTTGTGAGTTTGAAGGTTGTGTTTGTGAGTTCGAACGCCGTGTGTGTGAGTTCCAACGTCGTGTTTATGAATTGTAAACGTCGTGTTAGTGAGTGGCACTGGGCCAATTTCATGAAGCTGCTCAGCGCAAAAATTGCTCAGCTCAGTATTGTCTTGCTCAGGAAAACAGGATACCGGACAAAAATCCATGTCATTTTATGATAAGCAAACATCGGCTGAACACCAGTCACAAGCAATATACAACACATGAATATGTCATGTTGGTTGGTAGTCCTGTTTTTATTGAGGGAAAAACATCATCCTATCATCCATGAAATTGGCCCTGCCCACTCAAACACGACGTTCCAACTCACATACGGCGTTTGCCTGTCCGTTTTAGAATACCACAGTTTATTAGCAGTGTGGCTTTAGAGCGCAATGTAAAAAAGGACTCAACAATTTTACGAACCAACCCTAAACTGGCTGGTGAGCAGCGAATCTTGTGATGCCCGGGCGCGGAGTGCATCAAACCACTAGTTCTGTCTACTTAGGGTGATGAAAATTCCATTTCTACCTTTATTCATTAATTAAGATGGCTCACTTTCGCTGGGCCGATAAAAAAATGGATCGAACTCAATTAATTGCTCGCCAACACGGAAATCTTTAGTAAAAGGCGAAAGATTTATGCGCAATGCAGACTAGCCAAAGTTAGTTTGTTTCGGTTGTTGATGTTCAGAATTTGGATAGCGTGATTCCTCAAAATACCCACAGTGGTTCACTGTAATAAGTCTGTTCGAATACAGACACGCCTCTCACAACGAACCCCACTCAGGGAGGCTTTGTACGTTTACCCGAACAATAGGGTCATATACCTCGATCAACAATAGAGATTTATCCAGCTCCCAATTTTCTCCTCCTGGAACCAACCATAACCTTCTCGAGTGAAATATCCAACACAGTGACCTTAATTTTTTCTAACATTTCGTGACGTCATATGGTGGTGTTTGTTCGTAACTTTACATAGGTGTATGTGTCTGACACAGGTTGCCAGTATAACTGCCTGGGGGAGCTATTTTAAAACTTGCATCGGAGCTGTATATATAGAGAATAACGACAGCTTTAGATTTTGGAAACAAAATGGCTGTGTATCATGTGTACAGTATAATGTCGCTATTGTCGACCAAAATGTCCCAATGCACTGGCGCATACACCTGTCAGTTTGTTTCAAATAATGATTACACTCATGTCGCAAATCTCTGTACATGTATAAACGACTCTGACTTACATATGTTGCCGTGGAGAGACTGCCTAGAAAGCAACAGCAGACGAGAACTGCCACAAAGAGAGGGCGCCTCTTGCCAATGGTGTGCGGGAATTTGTCCATCCAGGCTGTAATGATCGATTCCAGGCCACCGAACTGCAGAAAGAGAATCGCAACAATATATTATAATTCAAATTTTTCGTCCAGTTCCTACTGAAATGAATTTTTTAGTGCTATTTGACTAGTGTTGACCAGTTAAGCTCCCTCTCAGGCACATTTCTTTATGGAACTGCGTCGTACGCAAGAATCTGTTGAGCCAAAATACCTGAGCTGATGGAATAAGGTGGAAGTAACTTAATACATGCATTTCGAGACTGTCCTCGTAGCGAGAACTTCCTGGTCCGTAAATCAATTACATGTACCTGAGCTTGTACCCACCACGTACTATGCCACACCCAAAGCCGCCAACGGACACACCGAATTTCCTTCAGGTCTCATTCGATGATTTTGTCATCCAATTATCAAATTAAGTATGAAATGTCCGTTCACTGATCAAAGAGTTAAGCAATCCACAATGCTCTGTACTTTCTTCAGTAAATTGCGAAGTAGCTAAGTGATCCCAAGCTCTCTTGAAAGGGCGATGCATTTTAAGCTTTTAAATTGTATAAACCCTTTTTCCCAACCCCGCCCGGTTGTGTCTTGTTTCACCGGGGCTAATAACCTACCGTGCTGTCCAGTCCCAAAGTGATGACCATGAGGAAGAAAACCACGGAGAGAACGGCAGGGGCAGGCAGGGTAGCTAAGGCCTCCGCGTAGGCAACGAACACTAACCCATACCCTAGTCAATGAGGTTTTAAAAAATGCAGAGCTCGATTAACGTGACTTTGGTCTGCCAGCTGAAGGTTGACTGGCGGTTGTTAGGTACTGCCAGGGAGAATGGCTAGTTGGCAGTGGCGTACCGTAACCAAGGAGGTCGAGGGCTTACCTCTTTTGAAATTAACGAAGGAAAAAACCTGGTGATTATCAGCCTCGGTCAGTGTTTCAGCCATGATTAAACCCATTGATTGCCTCTCCAGAAAATCTTATCGCCCTCTTGCTGTTATGTTACGTGTTAGACGTTGTTTCAAGTCGGCTGTTTGCCTGGTGATATTTGTTCGGCATTGTGGTGACCAAGTCAAAAACAATTTACCCTGATATGATAGAGGACGTCGACGGACAAAATACAATCGCCTAACGACTTGATACGAGGTCTATAAATCTAGATACCCACTGTTCAGTCAGACAGTCTGTCGACAGTTTGTATGCAGGAATTCGGACATTACTTTTTCTGCAGTTTCTTCATTAACGAGGGATACATGGGGCAGAAGAAGGACCGTGCCCAGTGCCCCTTAATCTAATACGTCACTGTAGATATCGTATGGTAATCAGTCAACTTGGGAAGGGGCTTTCGGTCAGTAAGTCCATCATCGATTCTGGTCTGTCGCTGACATTTTTGTGACCTAACACCTTAACTCTTGTCCTGTTATCACCTTCAGGGGCGACTTGTTCGACAGGAGTCTGCTGTCTCACGGCCATGTAACCCAGCACTGAAAAGATGGCAAAGCCTGACACGAAACTCGTGGCGCAGTTGGTAGCACTGATCACCAGCGCATCCCTGCCCAAAAGAGTAGATTTGTAGCCAATTATTTTCTAGATATACTCCCTACTTCATTGCTTTCACAAATATTAGTATATTGTTCTTCTTTAAAAGAAAAATGTAAATCAGATATTAACTTAAGAAAATAACATTCACAAATTAAATTAACCCATGCAGACTCGGTTTAGTGAAAACCTGAACTTGCTCCTAATATGAAATTAGAAAACACCGAGATTTGTTTTTGTTTCTTTGACAAGAGACATCCTCTGCCTAAGGTGGCAAAGGAGTGCCAGCAGCACAGGAACAAGATTCGCCAAACAAAGCCAATTCCATTCACAAGGCTGGCGGAATTGAAATGCCTGGACTAATTGAAATAGCAGACAAAGGGAACAACCTGCGAACCCAGAAAGGCTACCGTCAATGGTCTTATGAAATATTTTCTTATCTTACCACCATCAATATCAGATACCTGTAGCAATTGTTGTGGAACTGGTTGTAGCTAGAGAGTGCAAGCATGACGCCGAACCCTGGGCCGAGAGAGAAAAACACCTGCACGGCAGCATCCATCCAAACCTAGTAAACCGAATCCAATTCGGGAAGAGAAAGAATTTCCAGATGGAATATAGGACTTCTTTCTAGTTAGCGAGTGGTCATTAATCATAAAAGGCGACTGAATTTGACATGTATAGCTTATTCAAAATAATTATCAGTATTGGTTTGGAAGTCGTACAACTTTACTTGTTAACGAAAACTTTCTCCATTTGAGATAATGCTCAGATTTTGTCGATGTCACGGTTTGCATACTCACCGTCTCAGGCATGTATGCGCCGTATGTGTTGTTGGTTTCTAACTTATGTGGTTTTGGTATCCTTTGTTATTGCTGATGTTTGTTTCTAGTGCTGGTGGTTTTCGCCGTTGTTCCATAATTATAATATGCTGCGTCCATAGCTAGTATTTTGACATTTTTTTCGTCGTCGTTCTTGTCGTTTCTGTTGACATTTATTGTTGACGTCGCTACAATTCGTCTGATTCTATTTGTTCAATATTATTATTGGAAGTCCCCCCCCCCGAAAGATCCTACCCCTGGTTCCAGGAGAAGGTCCCACTTGGGCTCCAGGTAGTACACAATGCCGTGAATAGCTCCCTCAAGCGTTACGCCACGCACCAGCAGCACGGTGAGACAGAGATAAGGTAAAGTAGCTGTCACCCAGACCACCTTCCCGGACGCCTTGATGCCCCGCCAGAGGCTGAGGAACACGATCGCGTACACAGCCAAGAGGCACAGGACGAGATCCCACTTAACCCCTCCCAAATCTTCGATACTCCGGTCGGTGGTCAGTCCCAAGACCTTTAATCTACCGAAGAGCGAAGAGGTACAATGGATAGAATGATGAAGTGAACCGTCGGAAAGTTTTTATTTCGGACAGCTGAGATTCTGAAGTCTGCGGAATGGTGGGAAACGTACAGTTGAACCATCGGGTTATTATGAAAGTTCAAGCAACAGCAGATCCTCAATGTTTGGAATTTTAATTCTTAAATGACCTTCTGCCTGCGCACACAAGTTCGGATTCCTGATCCTCTTCCTGTGTACTCCTGAACAATAGCTTTGAGACTGCCCTACATACGCTACGCTGGGTTTAAGTGAAAAGCGCATAAAATAGCCGCTGATCTGTTATATATCTCAATAGCGGATTAAATTAAACTGCTCTGACAATAAAAGTAGTGCCTTTATTTTCCTATCACCCAGATATGCGAAGTCCCCTATGTACTGTAGGCTACTCTCTCACAAAACGCGAGAGTCAGTTTTCTACGATTTATGAGCCGCGATTGCAATACTCACTCATAGAACTCCGACGCTGGGGTGGAGCTCTCATTGCTGGGAGTGGTCGTGTTACCAGACTGGAAAGGTTCCATGCAGTCAGCCGTGTTCCAAGTGTTGTTGCAAGTTGTCCAGGGCAGGACACTGGTGAAGGAGGAAAAGAGGTAATAGACGGCCCAGGCGATGACAGTGTTGTAGTAGAAAGAGACATACATGTTGACCACGCAAATGGCGAATCCGATGCCTGTGGGGATCATAGAGAAAGTGTCGAGACGCACGATTGGATGAAGTAATGTAATTGGTGGGTAAGGTTTGGGGGCCATCCATTTATGGCCATTTTTAATGAGAACACAAAGAGTACCCCACTTCCCTCAAAGACCGAACAATCTGACAGGAAAAATGTTAATGTCCGTGCTGGCTATTGTCATGCATTTTCACATTTTTCACTGAAAAGCACACTGTCCCCTATAGCCCCTTCCCGCAACGTTAGGTTTGTGCGCTCGTGAATGTGCTGGTCGAAATTATTAATGGCGAGGATGCGTGACGGTGCAGGATCTGGTAACGGTGTTGGTGAAAATGATGCCGATAATGAAGATGATTTATAATAGTGGTGATGGTAGTGAAGGTGGGGACAGTACATTCGTGATTGGATAACCATAGGCGATCGTGGTGAAGGGCTTCGACTATTTTATGACGGTTAAGAGGAGACTGCTCCAGTCATGTAGCTAAAAGAGACGTCAAGGGCAGAGACGACTGTGAAAACCTCGTATTATAAGGGAATGAAATAATCAGGAATTTAGAGGCAGGGAGAAGAAATTAACATGAGTGTGAGTTTACTAAGAAATTGAAAGGGAGGGAGCTGGATGGACGCATATTGGGTTATTAGATCTAGGCGCAGGACGAGGATAAAAACGCACCTGTGAGGAGCGGGCAGATGCGGTTCCACACGGTGATGCAGCCAGTCCGTTGGTACTGTCCCAAGGCCAACTCTAGGTAGAGCAAAGGGATTCCACCAAACACTGCCATGATGGCGTAGGGGATGAGGAAGGCTCCTTGGGTGGGGGGATGACGGTGGTAGAGGACAATACAAAGAACACTGGAAATCTCAGGAGAAGTGACAAAAGGTGCCATCATCTGTTGATTTCTTCGTTTAAATGATTGGGAAAGGAGTTTTCTCTCCATCACGTTTCCCAACCGCGGTTTTCCTCGTTATTGTGTAAACTTTTGTTCAACCTAATTGTGTAACCTATGTGAAATATACTTTAACGAATTATGTTGAACATGGAAGGCCCAGTTTTAAATCTACTCGTCTGAAAAGTAATCTGAGGTTTGTGAAAAAAATACATAATTTGCAGATTTGTTTGTGAATTTCTTATGCTTAAATTGAACACCATCTAGGATGACCACAACGACCTTTGTAATTCTACTCCTAAGAAGGTTCTCATGAAAGGATGGTAGTCGTGAGGCATCCAAAATCGTTTTATTCATAATATTCAATCCTTACATTTTAAAGTTGCAATCTTTTTTTTCTTGATTAGGCTTTGAACATTGCCGTTTGCATCTCTGTGGAGCCGGCTGCCCTAGCCTTACACCAATTAGGATTCCATATAACTGACAGGCAGAGACTAGGTCTTTGGCCGTCTTATCATCAAACAAATTATTCTTAATATAGACTGGATTGGGGGAGGGGGATCACGCATACAAGAATAAAATTGCTGGTCAGACCTTAGTCCCTTTCTTCCCCTCCTATACTTGTTACTTGGGTAACCTGTCCCAGAGGGCGCCAAATGACGTCAAAGTTGTATCCCCAGCGTTCATATCTATGACAAAAATTGGTTGTCCGTTGAGGAAGTCATTGTCGAGTTGAATACGTGCCGCCCCAGAGGTGTTCGAGTCCGTGCCATTCGATCATAATGAACTCAATTAAAAATAACACAAAGCTTACGGAGCCCTGTGTCTATAAAAGAAAACGATTGCTTTACTTTTATCTATTGTTAATTAAAATCACTCTAAATAATTCAAATTTTTTAGTCCGTTTCCTGAAAAACTCTGTTCCTATTAAAATTGTTTTGTTTAACTGGTCCCTCAAAAAAAGTCGTTTGTTCACTTGAAACAACAAGCGTTGTCCTAGGTCCCAGGGGTGTCTCGTGTTCCTTCGGTGATGGTTATGTTCCAGAGGTATTTTTCAACACTTTCAGAAACATGCCAAGAAAATCTTTCCGCAAATTTTGAATATTTGACAAAAATAAAAGAAAGAAAAATTGATTTAACTTGAGCTTAATGACAGAAGCAGAGGGCGATACATTTCAGATAGGATTTCTCCTAGCCAAAGAAGTGCATTCACGCGTTGTGCCTTCGTTTGTTAAAAAAAATCCCACACGCATAAAAAACCCAAACTTTGATGGCTTGTCAACTCAGTTGCGGGGGGGGGTATTGAACTGCAAACCCAGTGATAGGCGTCTTGATTTGACTATTCAGAATTACAGAGATACTACTCCTGTTTCATTCAAAGTCTCTTGAAACTCACGTAATGGGTTAAGAGTTCGACATGAAAGTTATACAATAGAGTGAATCGAACTTCTTTCACACGTTGAAACTTACCTCCTCCATTCTTGTAGCAGATGTATGGGAATCGCCACACGTTACCAAGATCCACCGCAAACCCGATAACAGATAGCATGAAATCCAACTTGGAATCCCATTTCTCCCGGTCCACTGCCTGGGACAGCGTCTTGACCTGCCCAGTCTCCATCTGCACCAGCTCCGCCTTTGTCACCGGTGGTTGCTCGCGGTGGGTTTGTTCCCCGCCGCCGACGGGCTGGAATCCCCGGACGCGTTGCGGTCCTACATCGCCGACGTCCTCGGAAGGGCTTGTAGCTGCGTTTGCCAGCAGCCCGCTCGTGGAAAGCTGAGCCTCCAGTGGCTTGTTGGAACTAGCCATTCGGAATTCAAACACCTGTAAGTAGCGGAAATTTAGGAGGGAAACATGAGAATTAAAAGCTACCAAATTATTCTTAAATTTGGCCTGTGATCAATTTTCAACGTCTTCACTCATTTGAGAACTTAACCCAGCTCTTCAAATGCCCAGTTTGGAGTTGGGATGTACACCAGATTCTAAAGACGAAAACTGAATAGCCGGCCTGTGATTCTTAAACCTATAAGCAGAATTAGATGCTAAAATGGACCAATCACAGTCCAAGAACTCGTTTTTTATGGTGTGCTCTCACAGAAGTCGGCCCACCATTGTTCAGTCCTCGATCAATCAAAGCGTGCTGCACGCGCTAACGAAGCCCCTAGGACAGGACTGTAAAGCGTGTCAGGCGAGGCACTGCGCGGGCACCTGTCGGGGCCGAACGGGGAAGAAACCGTTAAATCTCACGCCCTTCTCCGAAGTAATCAACAAGAAAAAAATCTAGGGCACACAGGTTAAGTTTAAACACGATTGACACGTTATGGTTTCTGCGTGTTAAGTAATTGCGGGCAAGGAGGTCCTTTTGTCTTGTTATTCATGTTTTTGATCCACAAACCTGTTTCTTGTCAACCTTATGAAACATTTCATATTTCAGCAGAGGTAGAACATAACAGTGGTGTAAAAGACAGCCTTAAAACTGGTCTGCGAGAGGGGGTGAAACTAGATCAAAGCAGACAGTGCCACGTTGTTTAATTTCAAAATTTTCCTTTGGTATTGCTCTTTCGACATTCCTTTGTGCACCGAAATTACAACCATGTTCTTTCGACACAGAGAGAACGAAAAACGTCGAGGGAAAAAGCTCCACATGTAAAAAAGGAGTGTAACTCAATTCAAAATGAGGGACAAGACTTCAGCAAAGAACGCAACTCTTACGTTTGTATCCTTGCGGGGAAATTCCTTTGTTCTCATGTAGTAAAAAATTGTGTGTGAAGCACGGTTTTATGGTTGCTTCCATCTGGTCCTGAATAATTTTCTTTTGCTGAAATTTCGACCAAACGTCCCTTACACAAAACACTTCAGTTTGCGACAGGTAAGTACACTTGAAAGTTCTTTATTTTTGAGTACATTCCAAATATCTTGTAGGATACCGCTTTAGTACCCCACAAGTACAACTACTGTCCCTTGTGGGGTATACTTTCTGCTGTTCTACAAACATCCGCCGAAAACTGCACTACAGCGAGTGCGTAACACTGCCAAATGTTCGACTCCTCAACCCTCAGCCCTCCATTAAATACCTGACTGCATATACCATATATACTCTGACAAATAAATTACATTTCCATACAAAATTCTAACCCTGTAACCTATACCCAGCTTTATTCCCGGGGACGGCGTCGATCTCAAGCATTAAACCAGTTATTAAAAAAAGGAGGTTTACGGAGTCCAGGGCGCGTAATATTATAACTTGAAATTGCTATAAACAAATGTCGACTAAAAGCTGCGTCCGGTTAATGTTAATACTGGCGAGTCACAATAGGCGCACATCGGGTCGACAGATTTCGCGCACTGTGATTGGCCAACGCGTTGCAAACCCTTTTGGGGCGCACTATTGTGAAACGCCCGTATTGTACATACAGGTATTTTGTCCATTGAGTGTCTTGGCTCTTGGATCGCGAAATTTCAATTAATGCACGAGATGAATAGTGAAAAAAACAAACAAACAAACAAACAAACAAAAAAAACGCGCGGAGAATTGACAGGAGAAAATATGCTCTGATCTTCCAGATTTATACACAAACAAAAAGACACACGAAAGAGAAGAGAACATCGTGCACCTACTTCTTACAGAGCCGCTGATGTTACCAAAGAAACTGTCTCGTCTGTGAGGAAACAGGTGGATACGTCGACTCAAGTTGCAATAAACGCCACTAGCTCGTACAGGCACCATCCAAGACAAAAAGTTCACGTATTGGGGCCCGATGGTAAACCACTGGAACTGACAAAGTACTAACCTTTGGGTTTTTAATGTAGCTGCTCAGATAATTAAGGGTGAACCAAAGTTCGGAGTCATTGTCAGGGTCAGAGTACATGCACCTGTACGTGGCACCGTGACTGCTCAGATGTCAAGGCGACAGCACCCCGTGCACACTATATTACAGCGATGTATTCCAATGCCAGGGCTAACTATATTTGGCGCTATGGGAATCCCTCTGGGCTCGGCCTTGGTCCACCTTGAATTACAGCGAGCAGTGACCATGACCACAGTTTGAGGAATTTTGTACACAAAAGGTCACGTCTTTCTTCAGACTATTTCGGGATGCTCGTCGTGGCCTAAGCATCCTGTTTTTGGTTCAAGAACACATTTTCACCGTTTAATACGCAGGTCCGAACTCGAGTGTCGATTAAGGTTGAATGACCGATGAATCACAATAAATTCGTCCAGCTGTTGGACAAAGCTCCTCTCACGGGTACACAGGTCACCATCTGTCTTGCCAATATTATCCAAACCTTTGCCAATGTATATTTATGTTATCACCCCCTCTACTTTCATTCTTGTCTCCCTCGCCTTCGTCTTTACCTGTTCGTGGCTTGGTAGTCCATCACTTTTTGGCCGAATGTTGTTTTGCATTTTTTTCCTTCGCGTTCTGCACTTCTCCACATTGTTCTCTATTTTCTGGGGACTGACTTTTGTGATCTTAACTGAAACACTTTCTTAGTTGCCCGTTCCGACGGTGGTTGAAACCGGGAGAGCCGGGTTCTGCGAATAGCTTGATTAGCAGGGGCGGGGCAAATCGCCCCCTCCCCAAGGGGTATATTGACGATTTGGGTTTGTTTTCATGATATTAAGCACTAACAGTTTGGAAACTCTCACCTTACTTTGGAACACAATTCTTTTAAGAATGAGAAAAAAGAAAAAAAAAACCAAAACAAAAACTGACATTCGTTTTCAGAAACAAAGACCGAAACAAATATGCTTGCACATATCTCTAGTTATTTTCTTTCTCTCTGCCGGTAAGGCGTGAAGGATCCCTCCGATTTCGGCCTTGTGAAGACATAAAGGGGGCAAACGCGTCTTTTTAAAAACTAATCTGAGATACTTTTCCTCATGCATTCACTCTTAACTATGGACAACAAAACAACCTCCCATACAGACAAAAACGTATGACAACTTGTCTTTAATAGGCTTAGTCCACCTCATACCTCAAAATTATGACACTAGTCCATAACTGTGGTATTTACTATCTTCACGGCTAAGATACCAATATAAGACGATATGCCTTCTGAGTAGCAGTGTATGCATTATGCAAATAGGTGATTATCTGTTGAAATAAGAGGTCGAAAAATCAAATTTATGATTCAGGCGCTGCACAGTTTTACAGTGCCATCTTCGTAGTTATATTCTTGGTGACTGAGAGAAGCAACATCCTCCAAAATGATGCACTGCTTTCTATTTACAAATATTGTCTCCCACTCAAATCCGTACAAGGACAAGTGGTTGGGCCACAAGTGAACGACTACTCCACCCCCCCACCAGATATTTGCATACATAAATTAACGCGAATGCTGATATCAATTGTTAGCTATATGAATATACTAATAGTTTCTTTATATTATTGCTGTTACTGTTTTGCTTTAAATAATTCTACAGAAATATCACATGCCATAAAATCGAAGTTAGCAGTTCCATCTCTGTTGTGATGTCTTTTTGGAAAATACACACAAAACATAAAGAAATCGGGTAAACCCCTGACCCAGAGCAACACTAAAAATGATGAAAAAGAGGACAATTCTAAAGAAATAAACTCTTTGGATGCATATTGCGTGGTCTGTCTCATGTTGACAAATTGTGAGTTTCGGAGCTTTTTAAGTAGTAGCAGACGGCTTGCACTTACTTACATGCTAACTTTATAAGCAATCATCAACAAAGCATAAAACTAAAAATTTCAGTAATATACAGCGCCACTTGGGCACTTAATTTTCTGCGTACTGGAAGTCTCTCATTATTTAAGTTGATATGGAACACCTATTTTACTGAATGGTCCCGGCCATATTCTGTTGTAATTCCAATACAATCGGGCTATTCAAAAACTCAAAAAAGGGTAAACTATTTTCTAAGATCTGGAGTAGATCTGGACATAATAAACTTTATGAAGCCAGAAAAATAGAAAAATCAAAAATAGATTTGCTTACCGTAGGAAAGAGTACTTCAGATGTAGGCACTGTACGAAGAGATGAAACTCGACTCCCACGGCATAATATATACATCCATAATATCCTTTCTGTGTACTTGATTTAAAAGAAGTGTTTAAATAAATTAATTCCTACATTCCCGGAGGGTTCAAGTACAGATACTATATTTATAGTACTGAACGAGACAGCTTTTCTTTTAACATAATTAGTTCAATGCTTTCAGAGTACATCACATTACCTCAATGATTAGATAACATACCAAGTATAAGAATTTCATCATTCAAAATTAATTTTTCCGTAATGATTACAAACTTTCAACAAAAATATAAATTATCCATCAATTTCTGCATAACGTGATTTCCCTACTACATTTACAAGACACTGCCTGTCACTAATACGCCCGTGTACTGTACATTATAGGGCACTCATTAAATTCATCAAAAAGGGCATTTCCTTTCTAGACTTTCCACTGTTTCTTGATTGACAGCGTTAACGAGTCTGGCCCACTTATCGTCTTGTAGAATTCTACCAGACATTCACAAGGCACCAGAGTGATCAGTCATATTTCCTCTGGGGTTACAAATACACTAAACAGGAAAGGTAACAGCATTCACTTGTGTACATTTCTGCTAGCAGATATTAAACCAGTACACTCTACACTATCCCTCTACAGCGTGCACAGAATCAGCAGAAAATGCTGACACCATTTTTTTACATTCTTGCCACGGAAATATGTCTGTGTTAAAAACAAGTGTCTTAATAAACGAGAGCTATACAAGACATGTACAGAACAAACTATCTATGAAGAATAGCATTTTTAGGATTTATGAGATGTATTCTTTTAAATAAAAGTAAATAATATGGATTATCATATTATATTTAGCTCTCTATTTTGGTGTTATCTTCTTCACAACCAAAGTGAAAGCATTTACCCATATATTATTTCTTCAACTTTCTTCTACAACTCAAATTTGAGGTAAAATGGAATTTGTGGTTTAAATGCTGAAATATAATGGTGCTCCTGACCAGTTCTTTCCGTCTAGATTGTGTCTTATATTTGAAGGCATGTTCCAAAGTTAGGCATGACTAGCAAGGCATTCCTCAGGTATGGATTCATAAAACACTTGTGCTACGGTGTGGAATGCTAGCATTTTGTGATAACCCTGTCCCCCCAGCTGTCACACCTTAAAGCTAATGACATCATGGAGAATTGATCCGAAGTTCCCCCTTGGAATGATCCACATTTCTAACCTGGAATGTTCTTGATTTAACTACAAGGACCGATAGTTTCTGTACACACTTTGTTCCTTTCAATGTTGTTTTGCCCCTACAACAGCTTTATATTCAAACTGCGTACACTAGTACTCATCTTGGTGGATAACATTCTGAGATGCCATTTGTGGAGCTATGTACAAACGGGAGGTCTTTTCTTTTCCTTTCTTCACATATTCCCGTGACTGTAGTGCTCCAGGTAGTAGTACAGGATTCCGACCTGGGTCATGGCATCGGAAATCCCAAAGCCCGGAGAAGGGGAGGCGCTCCCAGCGTCTACCCTCTTGGGGGCAGGGCCGATCAGGGTGGGGCCAAAGACTGTGGCCAGGTTGTGTAGGTGCATCTTGTTGGTGGCGTCGTTTTGGGCAATCCTGGGAGGCAGATTTTCAAGTAGAGAGAAACAGAGAAACATGTCAAAGACTTTTACTTAGAGCAAAATTCACAGGCTCTTGGAAGGTAAACTTCGACACTCTACTGAACCGCCAACCTAAACTGAACTGAAGTGTAAAGACCACCAATCCTTTGCAAGAGGGCACAGAAAGAAGTATCAACTTTTATGCAGTGCTGGGAAAGCTTAGAGAATAAAAGAATGCCTGGCAATCAAACAGGGACTAACAACCACCCCATGGATGCACTGCTTAAAATTCAACCTGGGGTTAGCTGTGCTTGAAGGCATGAAAGGACCAACTGTGTCCAACTGCCAGAAATTTTGTATTGTCCAGAGCATTATGTGCCACTGCAAAGCCTTCAGTGCGCAAATCATAACTTAGCTGGGGGGCCCTGTGGCGACTAAGTCCTTGGGCAAGGTGCTCTACCACTGGGAGAAATTCATCACAAAGGAAAGCAGCTGCCCTGTAAATACCGACATCCATGGCAGGGTCCTTGCTGCATACAAGATAGAATGAACTGCATTCGGAAATGCCACCTCTTTTCCAACCAGTTACGGGGTAAAAATGGCAAGCATGACAACATTGCTCCTCTCGTTTATAATGTGGGTCATGACCACGTACCTCCTGAGATGGTTAATAAGGCAGAAGATGACGCTCTTGTTGGGCTCTGGAATGGACTTCATAACTGAGACCATCAGTTCTCGCTTAGAGTCAGGGTCTGCCAAAGCTGCAAATGAACATACCATCAACCAACGCTTAAATAATGACGCAAGAAATAGCTAGAATCACCACAGCATGCAGAGCAATTTGAAAACAAATAATGCTATTAATAAATATGCCTACTCAGATTTACACAGACTAATAACATTCAAGGATGCAAATTGAAGATATGATTTACAATTTCTGGTGGAAAAAAAAACAATTGGAGCTCATGATCATCATTCTGTGAGAGAAATTCTGTTAAAGGACACAGTGCCAAATTGCACCATGTGTAAGTCCCTTTTACACTCATGCCGGGTACTCAAAATGAGTAGGAATTTTGTAATGAGCACTATGGGGGGAAGGAACAGTTTAGCTGCACAATGCTTCAAATGAAACACTGCAAGTCAAATGCCTAATGACTCTATGGGTGCAAGACATTTCTCTGCACTGTGACAAACCTCTAACACTATAGTTCACAGAAGAGGTTGGAATCTGGAAGAGTGATATTCTCTCTGATCTACGGCAAAAAAGAAAAATAATTTGATTTCATTTGATCTATTTTGTTTATCCATTTTATCTAACCCATAATGTTGACTACTTCTGAAGGGTGTGGCTTCAATGTAGTCAAGTCAAAGGTGTGTAAGAGCGTCCATCAAACACCCCATACCTGACCTCCCCCCTTACCTGACCCAAAGAGCACAGACAGAGACCCACAGTATTAATTCTTTGATAGAGAAATCCCTTGTAGCACAATACAGAATCAGCCAGCAACTCCACTCACATGTGGCTTGGGACAGGAATGAAACCCACACCACAGCCGAGAGAGGAGAGAGTTTGACACACTACTCCCTACACACACATTTGAAATATTTTCTTATTCTGCCATATATACTTTGGATATTCCCCTGACTGTGACGTACCCATGCCATCCACGAACTTGGAGTAGAGAGCCTGGGTGAAGAGAGGCTCCGGTAGCTCCCTAAAGTAATGCTTGATGAGCCCTGCCACGGCGTGGATCTCGGCTTGCTGCACCTTGACTTGGGTGTGCTTGCTGTCTGTGGGTTGGCCATGGACCAAAATCAGACAAGATGTTGGCAATGTTACTAAAGCCCCTTTGAGCTTCAGGTCTTGTTCATGGGAATGACCATGGAAGCTTGTCGACAGTGTCAATCAGGATACAAAGTCTGAAAACTGGTCGGGAGCGAGCTGCTGGAAATGGGCTTCATACACAAACACGTACATAGGCTGCATCTGAATCTCTTGTCTAGAGCTAGGTCTAGGTTTTTGTTCCATTGGAAATGCATGGAGATGCATAGACGACAGACCTAGCCGTAGCTCTGGAAGCCCGTTTTGGACACGGCCTAAGACACTAAATCAATGTCTGCATCATAAATGGTGGCAGATTGACTTACCAAGATGGCATCTGGCACCCTATGGTGGATTAAAGGGGGGTGAGGGACCAACAGGAGTCATCAAGCCCTCCCCCAATTTTGTATTTTTATCTGATTATCCAACAGTGTATTTAGCACCAATTACAGGATGATAATGAGTGAAGAAGACAATGAAGACATGTTTGGTTCTAGAGTTGGGAGGAAAAGCCCGGATAAATGTTTTGGGGAAAACCCACAGACTCAGGGACTGAAAACACAATCCATAGGTGGACTGAGCCGGATTCAAACCCAGGCCCCCTGAGGTGGAAGGCGAGGAAAGAAACGCTACATCAACCTGACCCCCTTTCTATCATAATGTGAGAAAGGTGATTTTTATGGGCAATCTAACTTCCATTCATTCCTAAAGTATGTAAAAAGCTCCAAAGTTTGCCTCATTCCTCCAAAAATCCATAAAAATTTCCATAAAGAAATGCCCATATTTATTGCTACTCCCTCCCCAAAATTTGAACCTGAATACAATTTGCTAAGCACCGCAACCCAAGTAGTTCAAAATTAATCTATGCATCTGAAATTATGCACTTGTTTCCACAATTGCTTTCTTTTACTGCTTGAATTGCTTTTCATGTATTATTGCCTTATGTAGGAGGTTTGGAACCAGACCATACACACCAACTAAACAATAATAATGACCGTTTGAAAATGCCACTTTCTCTTTCCTTGAATTTCAGATTTTCTTCCCCCTAGAAATAAGTCACACTTTGAAGGACTGTGTGAGATAAAAATACAATTCTACAGCATTCGTAGTGTTTCTGAAGGCAGAGAAAAACCACAGGAAGCTCTTTCACTGAAGGCAATGTCACTTAATGATGAGAACATAATTTGAAACCCTTGTGCAGTGAGCACATCAAAGCCGCTACCTCAACCGTAATAGATTCAGAGAGATGTGATGGCACCAACTTACTAATTTCAAACAGTTTCTTGAGCTTCTGTATGTCAGCTGATGAGCCTGAGATCCGATAGATACCCATCTCCAGCATGCCTGCCAATCAAAGAAAGTGCAGAAAATAATTTACCATCTCAAAAAAGAGCTGTCAAAATGTACAATAGTTTAACACTGCCCCAATCATCTAAACCTAATACGAGGTGACCTGGGTATCAATTGAGAGCACATTTTGGTGCTAATGTGATCAACGGCACCCTGTGGCCCATTCATAAAAGTCACCATGCCTTGGACATGGTGTGAATTATGCACTAGTTCCCATGCATGTAGCAGAGTACACATGGAACATTTTCATTGGAATGTGCACAAAAGCCATAGCATCTCTGAAGCATATAGGCTTCAGTTCTCTGTCAACTTCCTCTTTCCACACTGAGAAGGTAATGACACAAAAGTCCATATCAGGTATAATAACTATTTAAAAAACATGACACGAGATCCTGTTTGCACCTTGAACAACAACAAAAGCAAGGCAAAGTGGAGCGACAACTCTAGCTAACTACAGGTCAGCCAATGTCTCCTAATTGATGGATGGTCAGGTGGACCATCTGTAATTGGGCCAAATGGTATGGTTGAACCGCTGATTATCAATAGCAGAATTCATCGACCATAAAAGAGGGACCCATTCATGTGGAAGTAATTGTAAATTGACCATGCACGCAACAGGAGTTTGCAAACACGGGCAAAATGTGCGTGACGATGAGACCCTACAAAATAGGTCATTTGAGTGTGACTGTATTGCTGATGTCCATTGTAAAAAAACAACTGACTAGTGGTTGAACTGTAGTTAATGCCCAAATTTGCCTTAAGATTTTAGGTTTGATTGACCTTACAAACACCATCAGGGAAGATATATCGTAAACAAATCTGAGACTTGCCTCTTTTTTCCACCTCTTCCACGCAGAGCCGGACAATGTTAGGAATATTGGTTCCCTCTCTTTTGCACAGGGTGCAGATCCGCACCCCAAACACCCCCATCTTCTTCTTGGACTGAACCCGCTTCAAGACCTTCTCTGTTGACTCAAACCTCAGTGTTACGGCGATTTCCAGCTACATAAGAGAAGACAGAGAAATACCTGAGCGCTACAACATTCGCCCAATCTAATCACTGTGTTTTTCAAACAACACATTTAAGGGTAATTCCAGAAATT